AGGATGCAATATCTAGACTTTTGTCAAGCATCCATGACATCCATGACAATGCCTCACAAAAGTCATTAAGATGTTTGAATGAGATTGGCTCAGACAGAAGCACTGCCAGATTATTAAGCAAGTGGAAATCATAAACAGAATGATGCCGGGCAGCAGTATTTTTGAACAGGAAAACTGTTCAAAAAAGATTAACATTAGACTCCAGAGATTAACATTATATTCCATTTACAAATTTCAATGGGAAAGCAAAAAAGTAGCACATTAAATTTGTGCATAGTAATTGCATAAAACAAAGAGAAGCCAGTTGAAACTGAATATAAGGATGGAGCACAGCTCTGCCAGAAAGGACTTGGAGATACTCAATAGCAGGCTGGACCAGGTTCTGAGCATCTGATTGACCTGTGGGTGACCCTGTTCACTGCAGCAATATTGGACTCTATGACCTCTAAAGGTCCCTTCCAACACTAAGGATTCTATGGAGGTATGACCATGAAAGCACCTGCAGTGCAACATACTTATTAAAACTATAGTTGCATGGGTTTGGAAGCCTCATGGTATCAAAAAAGGTGGAAAAATAGTAGAACAAGAAGAGCTGCCTTGCCAACTGTTTTCTTCTCAGCAGAATATATAAGATCACAGGGGACATTACAGGTATTTATGAAATGAATCATCATTTGTTGAGTAATGGCTGTCTGAAGACTAGACAGGTTTTAAAGCCAGAAGGGTTCAAAGGAGGCTACCTATGTCACTATGTCGTGGAAGGCTTTCTTCATTCATTAGAGAGCGATTTACCCTGAACAGTAAGGAAGATGGAATACCATAAAAACTGACACAATCACAAGCAAGAAATACAGTCCTCCTCTCAGGCAGGGAGACAAGACAATGGATTTGAGTCTCTTGATCTGTAAACACTCCCTCTTCTCTTGCACTGGAGTAATCAGGAAGTCAGACTCCATAACGCAACATTACACCATACTCAGGCTGACTTAACTGCTCCCTAATTCACCTTCCATCAAGCCCATTACCAAAATGCACAATTCTTCCCTTCACTCCTGTCTGTTCTAAATGCACCTTGCATCTCATACTTACCTGAGGAATCTTCATTAACTACCTGTTATGTTTTGCATGGTCAATCTCACAGCTGATTAAGTTTCTAGATAAAAGACATTAAACATCAGGTCCTAATTCCCTTCATCAGCTATAAGAACACAGCTCACACTAAAAAGCAGATTTAAAAAAAAAAAAAGCCTTATAGTTAATCCTCAGTAGCACCTGCAACTTCTTGGATGTACAAATTAAAGAGATTCCTGCTGTAATGTCAGGGTCCAAGCACATCAATGTGCTCTGTAACATCTCACTGTCAGGATTCAGCTGCTTAAAGTCAGCTCTGACCTAACAGCAATGAGTGGGGATCCAGCTATTGGGCACAGCCACAGGAACAATGAGCTGGAAGGTCTTAGCCATGGCCTCTCCCCTTGTTTCAGGTGTCTGTAAGCTGAGGGTGGTCATTACCCTCCTGGCTCATGGTCACCTGTGATTCCCAGCTCACTTTCTCTTGCAGAGCACCCTGCCCTTGCCACTCCCCAACATCAACTTGTTTACTTGTTATCAGGAGAAGGGCATCTGGTATTCAAAGTCACAGTTCATACTAATAGGATTTAAGCAACCTCTGCTCACTTGTAATTAAAGTCCATTATCGCTAATACAAGCAATCCCCAAAGCCAGTGTTCTATAGCCTACACTGCCCCTGGGGCCATCATTAGTAGCTGAACTCAGGAAGGAGACAATCAAAGCAATGAGTCAAAACAGTCAGTGGTACAGTGGACATTCCCTTAACATTCCGGGCACACTGCCTGCCTCATAGCTGTCCAGCATACCCTGATTCCCTGGTGTGGAGCACACAGCAAAGCAACAGCTTGGCAACACCCCATGTTTTCTGTGTTTTGGGGTGAGAAGTGCTGCTCCTGAAATACCGGCCATGCAACCCAAGGAACAGCCTTTCAGCGCAGCACAACTGAGCTCCAGAGGCTGCACTTGGAAACACAAGCCACAAATCATAACTAACATAAGTGGCACATGTCCTTTTTTGAAATGGAGGGGGAATAGAAAAAAACTCACCAAAAAGAGGAAATGCATCCAGACACACTGTGCAAAACATGCATGGCATCAACTACTTCTACCCTAATCCTATCAGCACAGTATGACTAGTTTAAGTAAAAACCCCTAACGTTGTCATCAACTCCACCAAGTTCAACGCACCATTAGCAACATCCCTCAGAGATCAGTAATGGAGTCAATGCTGCTTAATGTCTTTTAACATCTAGAATGACATTCTCAGCAGCTTGGCAAACAACAAGTTGAGGGGAAAGCCCAACCCTCCAGCGAGCAGCAGTGCCTGCTGAGAACCCTACTGGTACGTATCAGCAGGCTGAGGACATGAATCAAGGCAAACATCACAAAGATCAGGAAATGCTGAATCTTGCATCTGGAATGAAATAACCTCAGGCAGCAACACAGGTGTGCACAGATCTGGGGATCCTAACAGACAGGATCAACAGCAACACGCCCAATGAGCAAAGGAGGACAAAACACACTGGGCTGAATCAGCACAAGTGCAGAGGAGTAAATTCACCCGGTCACTTGTGAACACAGAATTTCTAGTTTTCAGCTTCTCACATTCAGTCCAGGTGTGCTGGATTCAATCAAGCAGGAGGGTGTCAGCATAGCTGGTGACCTGGAGCATATGCAAGCATAAGAAAAGCTTAAAACTGAGCCCCTGGGAGAAACTAACCCACACTGGCTCTCCTTGACTGCATTTGTTATGACAACACCTGTTGAGCTCAGTAGCCACTTTCAAGACCTACACAAAGCAGGCCAAGTTCTTCTCAAAAATAGATATAAAAATTAGGTCAGGTGCTTTGTAACTTGAAAATAATAAAGCTACCAATGTCCAGAGCAAGTAATTATTTAGCTAAAAGTGTATTTTCCCCCCTGCATTATGGTGTCATGAATGCTCTGTCTGGCCATGGAGTTTGCAAGCAGACTGATTTTCAGCCTTCCACCCTTTTGCCTGTACTAGTTCATTCTGCTGGAATGAGTTGCTGCCTGTAGATGCACTGAATCTGCAGGAATTTAGGAATAAGGAATCTTTCCTTTTGGTAATAGTGTTAGAAAAAAGCCAAAAAATCCAAAACATTAATTTTAGCCATAGTGTAATAAGTAAGGAAGGAATAAACAAATTATAATTGGTTAAATTATTGATGGTTCACATTTAGGAACTTTCTAGTTCAGCAGATGCTTTCCTCCTCTAGCTATTTGTGATAGCATGGATGGAGCAGAAGCAGAGGGTGATACATCTGCAGCTGAGTTCTGATTGCAGTTCTGCAGCCATCCAGTACTCTGCTGAGATCAGAAAGTTGTTGATCCTGACAGCAAGCAGCTATTACAGGTTCAGCAGGAACCAGCTGTTTTAAAACCTCGCTTTAAGGAGGTGTATAATCAATGGATATCAAGATGTTACAATATAATCAAGAGAGGTAGGCAAAGTGGACAATGATAACAAAAGAGAATAAAACAGGAGGCTTACCCTTCAGCTGGGCTCACCACAAAACACCAATAGAGGCGATCTCCAGAAGAGATCCTTCCCCACTGGTAGCCAGCTCTTAAATAGGTCTAGGAATTGCCTTCACCTGTGCTCTGGCTGACTCATGGCTCACCTCAGGTGATCAATCAGAGGTTCAGGCCGTGACTCAGCAGCTCCCATACAGGAGGCTTTCAGCTTATTAACACAATACCTGCTTTCAAAGTAAGCACACAAGGATCTTGGCTTATGAAGTATGTAGCAACATCATATATATGAAGAGCCCAGGAAAATAACATCAGGGGAACTGCAAAGCATTTTCTGGTTAGTTGGCATTTTGCTTTATAAGTCACTGTGGTATTAATGATTCTATTAAAGCAAGCAAGAACTAGAAAAACACTTAGGTAATTTATTCAGTATGATGGACTACTCCTTAAGGAGGCAGTTTTAGTAAGAAGTCCCTTTTGGTAGAAAACACCACATTTTTCAGAACACTAGAATTTAGGATGTTACAAGGGAAAATAAGGGGGGGCATGGCTATCTAGTAGCATTTTACACTTATTACATTCACTCAGAATACACCTCAGTACTGTGAAGCAAAAGCTGCAGTAGCGAAACACCTCAGCAGAGTTCTGCAGCTCCCTATGCTTTAGTTGTTGAGCCCCACAGAGGAGCACGTGGCATCTGAATTACACTCCCAGGGTCCCTCTGTTTCATACAGACATTGCCATATGCAGCAGCCCCTGAGCCACAAAGGTCCATTCACCAAACAAGGAGCCCTGCAGACGCTCCTACAGGAACGTAATTCAGTTGTAGTGATCCACATTAAGACCAGTTGTTGCTGCTTAGTATGGAGCCCAACAGTAAAATAACACCAGCAATCCCTCCTACGCTGTTCTCTCCCTGTGGTTTATGAGTTATCTGTGATGTTCATGACTACCTGCTGTTACTTCGCTCCAGCAGCGATTAATAGTAAGGCCCAAGAACACAACAGGAGCCTCTTAAGGTTGTCAGTAGGAAACACAGAATACAGACTCCTCTGAAGTGCTTTTTCTCTTGACTACAAAGATGGAGACCTTCCCACATACCTTGAAAAGTCTCCAAGGCTTCCTGAGCCAAGAAGAAAATAGATTCTCCAAATGAACACCCCTTCCTTCCTCTCCCTCCATGCTAAGCACTACTTTTCCACTAGCTATCTCTGCTACCTACAATACACAGGCATACTAGCAAAGAACACCTGTATTGCAGCCCTTCCCCACCCCTCCAGCCTCCAATACAGTATTTTACTGGAGAATTCCCCATTCCTTCCTTCTCTCTACACTCAAACTCCAGCATCAGAACATCACACTCACTCTTTCCTACCTCAATAGCCAGCTGCTCCCCACTCCCAGAGCCAGAGTTCAGCAGGCAAAACACTCACCTCAAAGACTGGCAAGGATCTCCAGAAATAAAGAAAGAAAAGGCAGAAATAAAAACCTATGGGGAAGCAGACAGGCCCATCACAAGGCAAAACCAGCCATGCTGCAGCCCCAGCTGGAAACTAACACAGCTAGCACAGGTGTCCTTTATATATCTCTGAGCCCAAACAGCAGAACTTAAGGCACCTGTGGCACTTCAATAACAGAAAATGAATACACCTGTCTACAGGGGGTTAACAGACTTGCAAGGATTTTTGAATTTGGACTTGCTAGTCCCAGTGTATCTGTCCTCTTGAGGATTTAAGCCCAAGAATAGAAAGGAGGGAAATAAGTCTTTGTTAGGCACCACTGCTCCCTTCATTCCTTAAATATTACTCATTTAGGGTTTGGTGCAAATGAGGGTGAAAGACCAGCCCCTCAAGAAAGGCCCAGCATCAGCCTTGTCCTGTGTGCAGTGATCCTGACAACTCCCCAGCACCAATTTTCTGTCACAGATGATGGATTAATCAAGGCTGATTTGAGCCAGCTGCACTCCATCAGGGTCTTTGCTCTGATCTTCATGCTGCAGTAACTTTCTATCTTAGCTGATTCTGCGGGGTGAAGCTGTTAAGACAGCCACTGCCCTTTGTCTCCCTTCTGCCACAAATAAAGTAATTTAAAAAAACAATTTTCACTAATCCTACTAAGGTGATTTGTTACAATAGTGAGAAGACTGACAAGACCCAGTTTCTGTCAAATGCTTTTGTGTGCATCCATGTGAGTTGGAGCTTCAGAATCTGACCTACCACATGAAGACCAGCAGACTGAGGAACAGGAGCCAGACTCCTTTTGCTGCTTGTTGGCATGCTGGTTCTTTGAAGCATGCATTCACTCCTCACACTACAAACCATTTTGCATTATAGCTGTCATTTAACTACTTGCCTCTCTCTAGAAACACCTGAGGTACAAGTGCCTCCCTGCTGCTCCAGCCCCACGTTACTACATGCAGCAATGCTGCCAACAAGCTGGGCTTAGCAATCACCTCCCTGACACACATGTTTAGAGAATTACCTCCTGCGAGGATCCTGGGGATCAGCAGTACTTACCAGCCACTAAATTAAAGCTGTTTGCTGGCCTCCTTGCACAGGCTCTAGTTTATGCCATTCTCTGCATGGTAGCACATACAAGTACCAGTCCTTAAGCTGGCTGAGATGCAGCACTGTTAAAGCAGCTGCAGCACTGCTGCATCCAAAGAGCAGCAGCATCAGAGGACCTCAACAACTTTCCTGAACTGAACACGCACAAAGCCAACAAACCCCTGCACATAACCCATTTTACATGTCAGCAAAGCTGCCCAAGCAGATCTACTGACAGTTTCAATACTGGCCTGCATCTATACACAAAACAACAGCTCAGGCCCTCCACAGCCAATCCTTTTCAGCTTTCCAGGCTCCTCCAGAAAAGCTTTAGAAAGCTCAAACAGACAAATGTTATAATAAAAATACTGTGTTATAACAGTAACTATAAGAAGCTACTCAAAAAACTTAGGTAGAGAGTAATCAGGAGTATGCAACAGGGTGGAAAAGACTAATACAAATCTGTTTAAATGCTACAGTCATAGAAGTTAGTTTGAAACACATGATCTTGACTATGCAGCAGCTATGAAGGAGCACCAGAAGGTTCATAACAGAAAGAGAGAGAAAAAAAAAAAGCTGTAAAAATGATGGCTTCCACCAGCAGAATTCAAGCTATGGGACATCACTAATCACTTCTAAGGAACAGCTCCTTCCTTTGTGATCCCAGTACAGATCAGCAGAAAGAAATGAGGACACGTATGTGACCCAACATCCATTCCCTCTGATGAGAAAAGACGTGATGTGTTCAACCTCTTCCAGAGCATTAATGTGCCTACCCTGCTCCTTTCTCATGCCATTTGACTGGAGATGAACCTGCTGGCATCAGTCTTCATGACAAACTTTTGAATAAGCTTATCATGGTAGAAATGGCTGCAGTCCATTTCTTTCCAATATTTGTTATTTCAGGCAGGGTGCAGGAATAAGGTATTGATTGCGTGCAGTTCACATTTTGAATAGACTTCTCAACCATAAAAGGTAGAGATGTTTTAATTTAAACAAGACTTTAGCATGATACGTGATAGTAGTTTCTAGGGAAAAAACAAAAATTCCCAAGCCACTGTACTGCATCCCAGTTTGGCCCTTGGGTCCAGTATTGTGAGCCAACACCTAAGCATATGCAGAGTCCTAGCAGATGTACTGAATCCCAGCTAGTCACTTAGTCATGCTGTGCCTCCACCTCCTCATGGGAATAATGCACAGCTACTTCACTGAGTAACACAAAGCTGATTTCATTAGCATTCACAAACTGCTTTCTGCTCAGCAGATGGAAGTGTTAGGGAAACGCCAAAAATCTCTACTTCTGGGCTTCTCTCCTAGCTCTTTTCGTAAGTTATTTCCTACAAGGTATGCAAAAATGTCTTAGAACCTTCTTAATCAAGATAGCAAACATATCCTCATTTTCCAAACATAGGCTTGTAATTATGTGAGAATGAGGCAGAAACAGCACTTATATGCATTAACATTGACGTGATCAAGAGATAACAGTGCCATTAATATGTCCTCTTGGAAAGGATCCTTTCAGACAGGCATTGGAAAATCATGAGTGGGGCTCATTAAGCTTTTTTTTTTCAAGATGAATGAAACAATGAGGATGCTTAAAGAATGCTGCAGTAACTGAAGGGAAAAAGGAGACTGTGGTCTTTTAGAGCACTGAAGGCTTCTAAACTATCCATCCAGATGGAGCCATGGCATCAAGTTTCCAGAGCATCCCTCTGACAGGTTGATAGGCAGCAGCAAACAGCCGGCTCCCCTTGTGCAAGCTCCTTCAGCTCCTTCAGGCAGAAGAAATCCCAGTGAGAAAAGACAACGGAGCACGTGCCCCACAGTAATTGATCCTAGCACCCCGAAATGGTACAGGGTCAGGAAGGTGAGTGGCTTGCAGCCATTGCCTCTTGTCCCATCATCGTGCCCCTCCGAGCAGAGCTTGGCTCAGCCTCCTCCATGTTCTCCAACCAGGCAGTTGCAAACAGCAGTGATGTCTCATCAAACCTCATCTTCCTGCTCACAGCTTAGACAGTGAAGAGTTATAACTTCCAGTGCTATTTAAATTAAATGAACCTATATGAAAGAGGGTGGAATTCTCATGTGGACAAGATTGTAGTGTCCACAGCTCCAATGTTCTAACCACAAGTGACCATTCTCTTCCAAAAGCTTTATATTTGGGAGATCTTTCTCCATGTGACAGGCGAGACAGAGCCCTTTCATTTCAGCAAGGTTAAGATTGCATTAGATGAAACAAATCCAAAGCATTTGGATCCTTTTCTAAAATAAATTACGGATCCAATAACTTTATTAGATCAGGAAAATACAGGATATTTCTCTAGGCTAAATACTGCACTGCTTCGGTTGTCTGTGATACTACTACAGCCGAGTTGCTCAGCCTTTGTATCAGCACCTTCTAATATCTCTCAAGTTCCAACATGTTGTAAAGTGAAGCTTTATTTATCTTTTTTTTGTCATCATATCGCAGTTGATCTGCTGCTCTCACTGCTGTATCGAGTCACAGAACAACACGTGACATGGGCCAACCCTACTGACAGGGAGTTCTGGCAAAAAAAATCACCTTAGTCACATTAATAAGCTTTCCCCATAAGGCAAACTTAGCTCAAGCTGTTGCAGTCTTCATTTCTAATTTGTTTGGAATCTGTTTTGATTTTCTGTCTCACATTAAATATAATTCTCTTCTAGGCTCTGTTTTACGCATTGATTTTTGCAATTGCATTCATATTACACTGGGACCAAATCCACAGTTCTCTAATTCAGGTAACACAAAAGCTTAGACAAATAAAGCCTATTTTTTTTATTTATTTATTTTAATTAGAGAAATGCTTTGAACAGGGATGGGACTTGGAGTAGTTACAGCACCGTTTGTTTTCACAGTGAAGGGTATACATCAGGGAGGGATGGACTGTTGACTTTTTAAGAGCATACTAAAAAAAACCTCTCTCTGGACTATACTCTGCACTGGGGAAACCTAGAGTTTAATGAAGCCATCAAACTATTATTTTAAGTAGCTCTGCTCCAAAGTAGCCATCAGTGCTGCACTGAGACAGAATGTAGAGAATCTCCTAAAACCTTTCCCACAGGCCCCATCTCCAATACACACAATGACTCTTTCCTCTTAAATAAGAACAAGCGGGTCTGACATTTTTATTACATGCACGGCACTTTTTCCTGATTTTTATGGCTACCGGGTTAGTTTTAACATGTATTCATCTCAAAAATACATGCAGAGAGCAGAAAGATCGGTACCACCACCACACAGAGCTGGATTCTATTTCTGGCAAGTCATTCTGGGCTTTCGGGAAAACAGAAGTGCAGGCAGAGGTCAGCAGCCCCACTGCTGTACTCAGCAGCACAGCCTCCCTGTGGTTGTGTCCTCCTGCAGGACGCCTCTCCAGCCAACCCAGCAGTGTAAGAAGGCAACAGCCCCGAGGACTGCAATTCAAAAGGAACTGGGCCTGAGACTGTCTCGTTTGTAAGGAGCAAATATCATTAAGCACTTCTTGTTCTGCAAACTGAAGAGGCTTGGAGCTGGTGGAAGCATCACAGGCTGTGATACAGTAGAGCTGATCGGCTCGTCTTGCATTCAGTTCAAATACATACTGTCAATCACAAAGACTACACTTATATAGGCAATCAGAATACTGCCCAGGAGAAATGTCTCCCTCCTGTTCCTCTCCCACCTTTCTTCCTACACTTAATGCACCATAAGATAGAGATGCCCATGGGACAATTCCACCCCTCTAATACGAAGAGATTTGGTTTCTTTTCTCTCAGAAGACAGACCTAGATGCCTGGTAGGTTGCCTGCCTTCAGAATAAGAAATAGCATGACCGATTTTTGGGTTTGGGTTTGGTGTGGGTCTCCTCGGGGTGTAAGCGAGAGCTTCCTTCTCATCCCTGGTACAGGCAGAGCATGGTCTGTGTGCTTTTGTGATGCACTGTTCGTTGTCGAAGTTCACTCATCACATCGATCCAGGAGCCT